TAGATTTATTAAGGTTGTTTGGTGAACATGCCAAGAGCCTGAAATTCCCACTTCTCTATCAAGAACCTACTCATCATGCAACTCTGAGGCACAGCTGCAGTCCCACATGCACACCCTCCTCTCATTCCTGTTCCTCTGGGGCAGAAGAGGTCCCTGGCTGTTAGTATAAATGCCTACTATGAATATTTTTCCACACACTTTCAGCAGACACAGCAACGCATTGAAGCGTTGTGATACACAGGCAAGGAAATTAAAGGCTACTGCCAGAAGATAACACATCAAGCTCTGGCTACAGTTACTTCATCAGAGCTTTAAGGTAATGAAAAAGCATTTCAACAAAAGTGACAAAAAATACCCAAGCACTTCTACAAGGAGAACTTGATCACTTCATGAAGGGGATTACAGGAGGTGGTTGCCACAGTAGTTCATACACACAAGGCAGCCCTTGCAGACCTGAAAACACGCTTTCAGCATTTGAAGCACTCTGATTTTAGATTGTTGAAAGTACCTTCTAAATAAAGAACTATACTATCAATTACTCATGTGAGAAAAGCTTTAAAGAATTAATTCTAAAATGCCTGTTCCACACCTTATGTGGAAAATATATATTTGAGTGGAGAGCAAGCCTTCAGTTAGGAGACACCTGAAAATACCTAAAATTCAGTGTCTGCAGTTTTTATTCCTGAAATGTCATTAGGAAATCACGTTACGTAACTGAAAGGTTGAGTGGTACCCCTCTACAAATATTTATCACTTTTTTCTAGTCAAACATACTTCCAACTTTAGGATTGAGATAACTACTCAAGAGTTAATGTAACATTTACATTCTATTTAAGCACAGAAGCCAGCAAATAGGTTTTGTTATGCTCACGCGAGTCTCACAAGAGGAGGATACAAAAGACAGAAGATTAGGCAGATTAAAAAAGGCTATGGAAGAACATTTACTATCCCTATCCTGAAGTGTTTCCATAGCAGCCGAAACAATTATCAAAACAGATACACCAAAAAGAAGGCAAAGAAACAATATGAAAGCTCTCCACCAGAAAGCAATCCATAGATATCAAGAGTAATATATAATGATGAAGTTAATGAACAAGTTAAGTGTCACCTACAACCTAATACATCACATAAGTCTTCGTAACGATGTCCATGGCAGCAGAGAAATTTACCACAGCAATGAGTATTATGACAGTGCTTCAACTGCTGTGGCTCCATGGCACTGAAAACATATGGTTTCCTATGTCTGCTTTGCAAGATGGGGATTTCCACAGCAGAGTAAGCTTACTATTTGTTTCCTCTCTCTCATCCCACTTAGGTTAAACAAATAAACAAACAAAAAAATGTTTGTTTTGTACAGCCCCCATTGTCCCCAAGCCTTATCACAAAACATCATTTTCAGTGGCACTAAAAAAAAAAAAGTCAATCCCTGCTACTCCGCACCATCTCACAGAGAAGTCATCTTTCTGAGTCTTTCTTTAAGCTTTTATAAGATGCACTGAATTAAAAATCAGATACTCAAGTTTTAGAAATGCCAACATCCACATCAACAAAAATTTGGGATTTTTTTGGCCTCACCTTAAAGCCATCTACAAACCTTCCCATTTACGTATTAACTAGCAGGCATCATCACTGCTGTGTAAATGTCAGAGCTCCTTGCCCATATTCTTTATGTAAGAACACAGCATCACCTATAACCAGTTTCTTTCATTAAACTCCTGAGTTCTCCAGAAAACAGAGGAAGGATTGTGTTGACAGCAGTGAGCAAGTGGCCTTTCATCTACCCACAGCTGAGATGCAAGATCCAAACACATAACAGCTTCCTACTGCATTTTTCACTGTACGTTTACTTCTAAGTATATTCCTTTTTTTTTTTTTTTTTTTTTAATTAATCAATCCTTATAACCAGATTTCAGATGTGCACAGGTGTGGCGTTGGGTCAGCTGAAAGTGATGACATTTTCTTTATAGTCCCCCTGCCATGGTAAGTCACTCCAAAGCAATGGGCAAACTGCCACTCCCATACAGCCACTCCCAGAGGCAATCTCAATTGTGCCTCAGATTTAGCACAGGGCCCTCAGGAGCTTCTCAGCTTAAAAATCCATCCAGTGTATTATTCTGTTCAGAAAGAATACTTTCAGAGTACTTTAAGTCTTGCCTTAAGAGCAACCAAAAAGCCACCATTGTTAAGAAATCCCTGAAATTCTGTGCAAGAAGCTGAGTACAGAAATCATTATTCAAGGTTGTCTCCAGCTCAGAACAATTTTATGTTGACAATGCATGGGGAGAAAAGTTCAGGAAAGCCAGAAAGCACCTACAAATGAAAGGCAAATTGGGAACTTTGAGGGCAGAAGAGGCCCTGTGCATATGCAGTAAGAAAAAATAAAGTCCAAATAACCCACAAGAAAGTGGGAGGGGAAATGCAGATAAACAAGAAAGGTGACTCTGGTCACAATACTTTCATGCAGCCTCCAGAATAACAAGCTAAGGAAGGACTCAGGTGGGAGCATGACAAAAACTTACCAACTCTACCATTTCTAAAGTATGGCATAAATGCTGATAGCCTCAAAGATGGTAGCAGCCTACTGATGTGTAATTTGTTTTTACAGCAACACCACCAGCCCCCACATAAGAGAAGACACAGAGGAAGAGCCTGATGCGCTTCACCTAGACAAAAGAGTCAGGGTTTTAGCTTTAATGTATATTAAACAAACCAACCAAGCAAAACAACTGAACTTTTTTTTTCTGCACATGCAGCTGAAGGTTTCAAGCAGCCCGTCATTCCTCCACACAAACACATAGACCCTGCAGTCTTTTTAATTAATAACTAACAAGCCTTGAAATCAATTCCAATTAAGTTTCAGGTAGCAGTCTAAGAAGCGTTAGTTATGAAATTATTGTGCCCTAATGCCAACGTGTTCCTTTTACCCCTGGAAAGACAGCTGGGTTTTAATGTTCACAGGCAGTAGAAAGAGCACATTTTCCAGATGCCGGTATCGCCTGAAATAAGTGCTTGTGAGCGTGATCAGCAGCACAAAGTCCTTAGCAATTACTGACATACTAGGCTTCTAGTGTAAGCTGTCTCACTGCTAGAGCAGGGACCACACTCGTTCCCTCGCCAAAAAAAATAAGCAAGCTGAAATGTTGAGAAACAACCATACACTGATTTCTTCATTTCTAATTTTATCAAGATAGTGCCCAGCTCATTCAGCTTAACAAGTACAGTACAAATGCTTCTGAGTATCAAAGTGCATTCTGTCTCAGGCCCTAATCCCATAAAAAACAGCGTTCCAAAGCTCAGAGAAACATTCCTAATCAAATTCTATAAATGGTGCAACGCCTCTTTCAGTTTTTCTGACTCTCCGTGTGGGTGTTACTTTCTGTGAAAGAAAGGAAAGCAGCATGAGGAGCAGAGATGCAATTCAACAGCACCCTTTCTAATCCCCAAGGCACTGATAGCTGTTTCACACCCCAGCATCCTCCAGCAGCCTAGAAATGTCACCAAAGAACACTCTGACTTCTTATCCTCTCAGTGGATAAAGGAACTACAACCGCCAAGTGTGCATCTCGTGTCACCACTGACAGCCCAGGCTTGGACACCACAACACAAGCAGGTATGCTCTACAGCTTCCTTAATGGACCAAGCTGGTACGCTTCCACATGCTCCCAATACTCAAGGACTACTGAAGGTTTACCATTAACTGCTTTTTCAAACCTACAGACTATCTTAAACAGATTCTATAGCAATAGCTCTACTCTGATAAGTTGGAGGGAATATAATACATGAAATATTTACTGAGCTTATCTACATAGACGGCTATGAGCATATCCTCAGCATGCAGATAATACACAAGTTCTTTTTAGACTAGCGTCATGCTGAGATGCTAGTAGGACTGCAGTAAGTTGTGAAGGAGAGATGTGAAGAGAAGAAAGGTGTTAGCATTGCCAGTGCCTAGAGGTGTGTGATCTGCTCTGTGAGAGAAGGAGCCGGCTGAGCGTGAGGCAGCATCTCTAGGTGGCCCCATTCCACACTCCCCTATTGGAGCAGGACTCCATCACTTTGGCTTCTAATCAGAAACCAGTTGAATCCCAGTTTCCATATTTTAGTTAAATCTGGCCAACATACACGGGTAATTATTAGCATGAATGGCACCCAACAAAATTCAAATATTCTGAAACAAAAAACAAATGTCTTTCACACCAGTTGAGAGTAAAAAGAGTTGGACTCAATCTTTACGGGTCCCTTCCAACTCGGGACATTCTATGATTCTAAAAGAAGCGTGAGTTCGATTGGATTGTTCCGCTGCGACCAAGTTCTCCCACCTGCTTTTGTAGGTCAGGCTTAACGGCCGCCGATTCTTCAGTTTCTAAACAAGTTTAAATGTTTTCCCAATACGATAAACCGCAGCACTGCCTCGCAGGAAAGCTCGGTTCCACGGGGGAGGGAAAGGGGCAGCAAAAAGGGACGGACGCCAGCCACTCAGCGGCTGCAAGAACCTGGCAGAACCCAAACTCAGCAACCGAACGGCGTTCGCCGCGCAGCTCCGCCGCGGTGAGCCGGGAAGGCACCCACCGGGTTCCGGCGACGCCGAAACGCCCCCAGAAGCGGCACACGGCCGCGACCCACCGCGCTCCGGAACGCGGCAGAGACGGGAGAGCGGAAAGTTCGGAGGCGGCCCCACACCGACGGCCCAACGGCACCCCCGCGCCCGCTCCACAGGTTGGGAGCGGCGAGACCGCCGATTCGCGACCGCAGCCGGGGACGTGAGGGAGGCAGCGCGGCTCTCCTGGCAGCGAGCTTCCCCCGAGCGGCTCCAGCTGGGGCTGCGGCGGGGGGCGGAGGCGCAGGTGCCGCTCTCCGCGCTCGCGCCGGGGAAGAAGGAAGGGGCCGCGGCCATGGCGGGAGGCGCGGTGCACCTGGCAGCAGGTGTATGCGGGCGGCGAGAGGGGAGCAAGGAAGCGACGCCAGCGGGCGGAGGGGTCGGCGCGAACCGTGTTACTCACCGGCAGCTCCACGCTGACTTCGGTCCCGTCCAGGAGGAGCACGCGGCACTGCAGCACCGGCTTACTGCCGCCGGCGGCGGGGATGTGGACGGGGGCTCCGGCGCCGTGCACGACCCCGCCGGGGTGAGGCGAGGAGGGGAAACCCCCGGAGACAGCGGCGGCGGCTCCTCGCAGCCCACCGTCCCGCTCGTCGCCCTCACCGCCGAGCCCGCCTCGCCCGGCCCCGCGCCCCGCTCCTCGCCCGTAGCGCTGCATCGACCGCCGGCCAAAGGTCCTGCGCAGGAACCGCAGCATCCTGGGGCGCCCGGCCCGGCCGCTCACACCCCCGAGCCCGCAGCTCCGCGCCCGGCCCCGGGCGCCTCCCGGAGCA